TTTTTTTTTTTTTTTTTTTTTAATTTTACTTTAAAATAACGTTTACCCTTTTTTTCAAGCAAGATAGTATGTGTTACTGACTTTGGCCTGTGGCCCGTCAGTAATACTTGTGCCAGAAGTGTTCCCTCTTCTGAGTTACAAAAAAAAAAAAAAAATAATAATAATAATAATAATAATAATAATAATAATAATAATAAGCAATATAGATAAGCAAGTACATGCCTTTGGCAGACGAAATCAAGTGCCTCTGGAAATTGGACAAGGTAATAATTGTGCCAATTATTATTGGAGCAACGGGGGAGATTCCTGTGAAGTTGTTTGATAGTCTTAGGAAGATCAACCTTAGAGAGAAGCTGTATCAACAATTGCAGAAAGCAGCTTTGCTAGGGAGCTGCAGGATTGTGAGGCGAGTTCTGGGTGATGGATAGTAACCACCAACCGATAGATTAACCTGCATTTTAAACTTCAACTTTTAATTTCTACCCCAATTTTAAAGTTTTAACTCCAATTTTAAAGTTTTAACCCCAATTTTAAGTTTTTTTTTTTTTAAAGTTTTAGTCCCAATTTTAAATTTTGTACTTCAATTTTAAAGTTTTAATCCCAATTTTAAATTTTTACTTCAATTTTAAATTCAAGGACTCTCCTTTGCATTGAATTGCCGGGGGAGGACTAAATATCTGCCGGCCTCGAGCTGTGAATTGAGATACGATAATAATAATAATAATAATATCTTTATTTGTTGTTTGGCTTGCACATGGCTTCTACAAATGCTTCGAATTTTTCTAAACAAAAAACAGGAATAAATATATGTATATAAAAAAAAAAACGACAATGGTTTCAACCTGTCCCATTTATAAAGTCGTTTGATTGAATAGGGACATTGCTCAATTAGATATTGTCTGACCAGGGCATTGTGGCTTCGGGGCTCATCTTTAATTTTTTTCCTTATGTTTGATGAGTATAATGATGTATGTATAATGAGCTCAGCTTTTCATTCCTCAGTTCGATGCTGAAAACTAGTCAATTTTGACCTAATACTCCGTCAGTAACTCAGTAAACTCTAGAAAAAAGATGAACAAAGAGGACGTCATCACTATTTTTCTATACCCAGTCAAATAATAAAGTTGTAATGTCTCTTCAATTGGATTGCATTTTGCAAAAAGGAACGAGAAGCCGTGGAATGATGCTAAGATTGTGCAACTTCATCCTTTGCAATAAACTTACTGATATCATGAAAAAATATGAAATGTGCATGGTGTTTCTTGTCTTAAATTTACAGTTTTTAACGAGTAAAGTAGAAACTGTCAATTGATAATCAGGTTTTTCTTCTAAGACAAAATAAGTTGCACAATCTTAGCAACATTGCAATGCTCCTGGTTCCTTTTTGCAAAATGTACTCCAATTTGCCTCTTGCTGTAGTCTTGAAAATAACTAGAAACTTCAGTGCGCTTTAAAAAAAAGTAAACTTCCTTTGTTGATGAGGAATAGATGAATGGCTGCTTTCAATCTTTGGCCGAAAGAGTCTTTACCGATTATCTCTCGAGGCTTTCTCACCTCTCTTGTATAAGTATATAAAATCGAAAGATTTAATTGTCTTTTTTTCTAATTTCAGATGCAAATGTCCAGCTCACTCACATCATGTTTCAGGCGTTGCAACCAGTCAAAAAATACGGCGAGATAATTCAACAGCTTGTGGTGTTCCTGAGGACAAAGAGTATGCTTTTGAAGTAAGTAATTTCATGGACCAATCAGGCTTTTCTTACAAATTTACTATTGAATCGCAAGGGAAATCACAATATTTACTGCAACTTTATGTTTATACTCACAGGCATGTAAATACGCCAGTCTGGTGGAATTAGAGCATTACAGCAAATAAAGATCCAGTCTACGTTATGGCTGTAGCATTCTGAAGTTGAAAAATAGAGAGGCATAAGTTTCTGGTTCTGGAAGAGCACTGGTGAAACTAGTTTTTAACTCGTTCATCATCCTCAGCCCGAAGTATCTCTCCGAATCATAAATCAAAGCGTCTGCCAGGCCATCATCAAACTGCCGCAAGCCTCCCCTCCCCGAAACGCAGGAATTTGTTGAATTATATATAATGAAAGTTATTCATAAAAACTTCCGAAAAATCCAATTTTTTTTTTTTGTGGGGGGAGGAACAATAGATGTAAAGAGAATCACTGTGTCTAAGGAAATAAAGATACAACTTGAACTAATATTAATTCTAATTTTCAGATCGCCAATTCATCGATCAGATATGGGATAGGAGTAACGAAAGAGGTTGGCCAAGATTTTGCCAACATGGGTGCGAAAAGAGTGTGCGTTATGACTGATCCCTTCCTCAAAAATTTACCAGCTGTGAAAACAACCTTAGACTCCCTCACAAAAGCTGGAGTCCAGTTTGAACTCTATGACAAAGTGAGGGTGGAACCAACAGAAAAAAGGTAAGCACTTTCTTACAAATAATTAACTCCAGATGAGTCCAGTCTAAGAATTTTTAGATGTCTCTTGATTTTGGTTTGCACTTGATATTGAATTATTACTCTCTTATAATTTTTTGGTTGATTTTAGGTTTCTTTGTTTTGTCACTTACTAAAAAATCTTGTGGTCGATTTTAAGTTTCTTGAATCTCAAAAGAATTGCCCCTCAAAGCGTTGATACATCGACTCCAAAAATTGTTTTCTTTGTTCTCTTAAAATTGTATGCAGGGAGAGAAAACTATAATACCAGATCAACAATGAAAAATGATGATGTTCTTGTGATACTGTAGTTGTATTTTGTATTGCGTGGCAACGGCATCGAGCAGCAGTAAGTTACAATCCTTACTTAATGCTGATTGGGCAATGATGACTATGCTTGTGTTATAAAACCTTTTTCGTTTGGACACCTTCCACTGTTGTTGAGTTTAGGCTTTGTCCGGAGATGGCTACCGCCACCCATGATTTTCATTCAGAGTTGCTAAATTTGTTAGTTCAGAAAGTAGGATGTAAATTGTAAATTGCACAATAAGAAAAACTTGTGATAAGTAAAATGTATAAGGAATTTCCACTGTCTTATAATAGTAAGTACTTACTTCATTCTCACCATCTGTTTTCTCCTGATTTGAATTCGTTTAGTTTTGAAGATGCGACCAAGTTTGTACGAGCCATGCAATTTGATGCTTTCTGCGCTGTGGGTGGCGGATCTGTTATCGACACATGCAAAGCAGCAAATTTGTACCATTCCAATCCTGAAGCTGAGTTCTTAGACTATGTGAATCCACCAATAGGAAAAGGAAAACCAGTAACCAAACCTTTGAAGCCTTTAATTGCAAGTGAGTTCCTTTTCTATACAGGAAAATAATGAATTTCAACTAATCCTTAAGTGAGGTACTTAAGAATTTTACCCGAACACTTTAACCAAGCTCTTAAAACTTTAGAGAAAAATAAGAATATCCCCATCAGCTTTATCATGCAGGTAAATTAATATCGTAAAAAATCGATAATATATACAAAGTTTTTTTTTTTTTTTTTTTATTCCACAAATTATGTTACAACCACCTGTTTACAAGTGTAAATTAACTTCGTTTTACAAATATAATAACAAACAAATTAGCTATTTTTAATTTTCAGTTTTAACTTTTACAAACAAATTAGCTATTTTTAATTTTCATTATATACAAAGTAGGAAACCTTTTTTGGATTTTTCCAGTTTTTATTGCTTTATCTCAGAAGATAAATGTTGAACAAAAGAAAAATATTTATGGACGTATTCAGTTTCACAGTTTGAATATCTCGGCAAGATTTACATCCATAGACATCTTCGAATTTTTTTTTTCCATCGCCTTCTTTACGCTCCTCATCACTATTAACAATTTTTAGAATTTAACAAAAGTATGATGTTAACTTTCTTTATCACAACTCTTTTTTCAATTAAGTAAGTTCCAGTGTAGTAGTCACTATGGTTTGCCGTTTGAGCAAAAAGATATTCTAACAGAGAAAAAAAATTCTGGGCACTGATAAATAAATACATGATTTAGGAAAAATATTCAGGACTGAAAAAAAAAGAAAGTGGTCGTGAAAAAATAATCAGGCCCGAGAATAATTAATGTTGTCCAACATTCTTGAAACATATATTTTTGTTGATGAAAAATAATTATTCTTGGAACACTTACGGCCATGTTGCCAGGTTGTGCAATGATTCGGAGAAAATGTTAGTGAGATGGGTAGTAGCCACTGAACTGGTAGTTGGGCACTGAACTCCAAAAGAAATGAACCCTCTAGTTATGAGAAATATTCATAGAGTGCACAGAGTCGTAATGTACGAGTAAGTGGGAGAGCTGGCGCCACTTTTAAGCAATTTCCAGGACCCAAATTCCGAGACTCCAGTGCGGCGCTGGGTCACTTTTTCGATATATAATCGATTGCTTGCGATACACGGGGACCCGGCCATATTTCACACCGCCATTTTGAATCGAATATGTATCGAAAAAGTGACCCCGCACACCGGGCTTAGAACTCGTCGAGCAGAACATGGCGCCAGCTCTCCCATTTACATTACGACTCTGTGTATACTCTATGGAAATATTACGGCATACGAATCCTTCCGTATTTTTATACTACCCACCGAATTGGTTTAAAGTTGAGCATTGCCAACATAAACTTACCGTATCACCGGCAATCATGCTATACATTTCTTCATCCTTAACTCTAAATGCCAGCAAATGCGGTTTTATTATTTTTTACTTTAATCATATCTTAAATATTTGCCGGGGCAATCCAAAAAGAAGCTAACAAGGGGAGTCTACGAAGTGACATCCTGGGATTGGGTTCATTTTGCTTGTACATGAAGAAGAGACAAATCTAAAGCCCTGTGTCCACTCGTGAAAATGGCGTCAAAATGGAAGCTCAAAGCTAATCGATAAATACGATCTGTTCACGATTGTTGATCAAAAAAGGGTCGCGCCGCTCTATTTTAAGTTGCAGCACTCATCAATCGCATCAATTCCCGACTTTGAGCCACTTATCGTCGAAATCGATTCACTTTGAGCTTCCATTTTGACGCCATTTTGACGAGTGGAGACAGCGCTTAAGTTTGGCGTAATATAAGCCACTAAACCAGCAAAAAAAAAAAAAAAAAAGTTTGGCGTATTTTTTTTTTTAGCCGCCAACTCCCAACTGTTCTCGAGACATCGATTTTTAAAGTTATGATTTTTGCACGTTTCCGCGCGGTGTGCCGGCGAGTCAAATGAGCGCCGGCGCCGCGCCTTCCCTATGAGCTTCGGTCGAGATGTTTATCTACCGACTTGACCGGCCACCCTCCTGAACTGTTCCATTGCCGAGCGGTAGAATGTTCGCCTAGCGATCCGAAGATCGCGGGCTCGAGTCCCGCTTCTTGCCGTTGTTCTTGACATACGTCGCAAGGCGTTCTTACAAGTTTTATTCATTTTTATCACACACCAGGGGGGTCCACCCCATGGCCGCTACGCGGCCCAACCCCCGTGGCGAAACGGTCCTCTTCGCGGCAAGCGAAATCATCGAAATCGACCGTTGACCGTTACTACGCCAATAATTTTAATTGATTGCCAAAACGATGTTTCAAATAAAAACTTCCCACCACACAATATTCTTAATGACTTTCTCCTTACTCTGGATTTGCAACCGCCAACGGTCGATTTCGATTATTTCGTTTGCCGCGAAAAATAAATAAAACTTGTAAAAACGCCTTGCGACGTATCTCAAAAACAACGGCGAGAAGCGGGAGGCGCACCCGTAATCTTCGGTTCGCTAGGCGAACATTCTACTGCTCGGCCACGGGACAATTGATAAGGATGGCCGATCAAGTCGGTAGATAAACATCTCGACCGAAGCTCATAGGGAAGGCGCTTCGTGCGGCTTGTCGGCGCTCAGTTGACTCGCCGCAACTCCGCGCGGAAACGTGCAAAAATCGTAACTTTAAAAATCGATATCTCGAGAACGGTTGAGAGTTGGCGGCTAAAAAAAAATACGCCAACCTTAGATTTGTCTCTTCTTCATGTACAAGCAAAATGAACCCAATCCCAGGATGTCACTTCGTAGACTCCCCTTGTTGTAAGTACAACTACGGACCATCTGTACATAGTCCTGGTTGCCACTCTAGATTACGACGGTTGGTGCAACTAGTTTTGCTACTAGCCATCTCACTAAAGTCCTCTTCTCTTCATTACACAGTGCGGCAACGTGGCGGTGGAACGTCGAATATATCATTTTGTTTTTGAGAAAATAAAATTGATGAATAAAAATAAATAATGGAGCGAAATAAAAATAGTCAGCCCAGAATACGTTTCCTCGGCAATTATTTTTTTTTCAGTCCTCAGTGTTTTTTCTCAATTATTTTTTTTTTGCTCAGATAGTTCATCTTTTTACCCAAACGGCAAATCATAACGGGTGTGGTGTTTCAAAATCTTGCTCTCAATAATTTTTCAAGGGAATATTGATTGACGGATTGCATAAAATTCCGAAGAGATAACCTTGAAAAGGTGAAAAGAAATCTCACAAAATTTTAAGCAGTACTAAAGGATTATTCCACATTCTTCTAAAAACTAAAATTTTTGGTGTTAAAAAAAAAAAAAAAAAAAAAAAAAAAAAAAAAAAATCGCCTCCTCTGCATTTAATTAAAGATAAGTACTTTTCTAAAAATGTTCAAAGTTGATGGTTTCACTTTGGAAAAAAAAACAAAGAGCAGAAATCGGACCACTACAACTGAAACGATGCATGTTTATAAAAGCATACATAGTAACATGAAGTTCTTCCATCGAATTGTACCATCATTCATCAAGATATGTCCTTTTTCCTTTCCAGTTCCTACAACCTCAGGAACAGGCAGTGAAACGACAGGTGTTAGTATTTTTGATTATGAACCATTGAAAGCCAAAACAGGAATCGCTAATCGTGTTTTGAGGCCAACGCTTGGAATCATAGACCCCCTCCACTGTTTAACATTACCAGAAAAAGTTTGCGCTTTTAGTGGGTAAGCCAGGTCAATTTTTTCTTAAATTACTTCACTTCGTAATTTCAACACCACTCAAATTCTTTTTAAAAAAAATCCCAAAGCACATGTCTCTTTGTAGTAAGTCATACAGTGCCATGCGTGTATTAAATTTTATCACGGAATAGTTTAAAATAATTGCTCGCATGAGTATAGGAAAGCAACAGCCTGTTTTTTTTTCTTATAGTGATGAAAAGAATTCTGGCAAGTCATCCTGTTAGAATATGAAATGGTGAAGATATAGGGATACAATTTAGTTTGGACGTTCAAAAAATGCTAGTTTGTTACCTCATCATCATTTCAATAAACAAGAGTTGTTGTAGAGTACTTCTCAGATTAAGAGAAGCTGACGTAGGAGCCTTTGGCGATTGTAGTTATTGCTAAAGGAAAAAAGTCATGTGAGAAAAATGTTCCCTTATAGAGTTACACTGCTAGGAGCAATACTAGTGACGATTAATCAGGAAGGCTGGACCATGCATCAGTATTGGACAGTCTCTTGACTTTTGCATTCTAAACTTGAAAACGTTCTTAATACAAAACGGAGGTTCTGGCAAGCGGCTGGGGCAGTAAACACTTACTGCCACCTAGTGCTTAACCAAGTATCATCAATATTGTTATTGCTGTTTGTTGAGAAACTTGAATGGTTCTACTTTTTTGTTTTCACAGGTTTGATGTTTTTTGTCATGCCCTCGAGTCCTTCACAGCACTGCCCTACACAGAAAGAACCCCACGCCCCACTGACCCTATTTTACGGCCGGCATATCAAGGAAGCAATCCTATCTCAGATATTTGGGCAAAATTTGCTTTAAATGTCATCAAAAATCATTTTAAAGAGTGAGTCAGCACCTTGTCTTCTTTCTTCATCTCCTATATCTAATAAATTGACACCACACATAAGAAAACCCTTACATTTCAATTCGTTGCTCCTTTGATGAATGGGCATATCTTGGTATCTACATGAAACCCAGAAAGCATAGATTTCAGAGTAGGAATCAGTGCACTGATTGCTATCTCGGTCAGTTGCATGCTCATTTTCTCGTTTTCATTTTTACATTTTTTAGCTTCTGTTCCAGTTGAGAATGGGCATGTAATTGGCCCGAAACGTCCTGGTTGTTTTATGTCTCCTCTAGCCTTGTATACCCATTTGTTTTTTGTATTTTAGTGTGTTTTTATTCGTCTTCTTTGTAAATTTTAACACTTTTTTTTTAACCCTTTGTTGCATGAGCCAGTCACCGATTTCAGAGGAAAAATCTACATTTTACAGTGTTTTTGGACTAGAGGAACAGATGCAGTTATCCAGTTTACATTTTTTTTGAAAACTTTAGAGATTAGACCTTTAATCCTCTCCAAAAAACAATGTTTTACTTTGCGCAATTTTATGCCATAGAGGATCAAAGCCCAAAAAACATTTGTTGCTTTGATGCAACGCTATGCAATAAAGGGTTAACAGCCGTTTCCAGTAGGATTTTCATTGGCCTGATGCGTTTGACATCACATTAAGAAGAAAAAAAATTATACAAAAATTCTATTTTAAAATTGTACGTTCTTATCAAATATACTCCTCATTTGTATTGCAGAGCTGTATACCATCCAGATAATCTCAAGTCTCGTGCAAATATGCATCTCGCATCAGCAATGGCAGGAGTTGGTTTTGGAAACGCTGGGGTTCATCTGTGTCATGCTCTATCTTATCCAATTTCTGGCAATGTCAGAACATTTCGACCTGATGGCTACAGGTAATAATGAAACACGTTTGCGTGGAGGTAGCTCATCGCAGTCTCATGATGAAAGTACCTTGATGCTTTGTGAAGTCACGAAAACTCTAGATTTTCTCTCTGCCTGCGGGCTGATTGTTGAAAT